TTAAAAAAGAATTTCTGCTTCCTAAATAACTGGGATTACAGGTCTGAGCCACCTCACCAGCCTGGTTTGGACTTCTTAACTTCTGTTCTCCATCCAACTTTTCTCTTTAGTAATTGAAAATGCTACGGGTCATGGCCTAGGTACCAATACTGGGGGCCCTGAGAATGGATGTCCAGCAATCTTTAGTACCATCTTTAGCGGAGTCAGACTCTACCTAACCCACCTATATCCATCCAACCTGTCAGAAATACCTTACCAAAATTGCTTCTAGACTCAACTCATAACCTCCAGCAGAGAATTCTGTTTAGAAGATTGGTTAGGGGAAATTGGGTTGATGGTTAGTGGATGGGAAGTGGAGCCTATAGCACACCTAGCTAGAATTGTAGGCACATCCAACAGCTAACAGGTAGTTACTGAATTATACCCTGTGGAAATCATATAAAGGCAAATACTGCCATGTTAGCCAATAGAGATTTAAAGTCACAAAGCTTAAGGCCAAGTAAGAATGACCTGATTTATATCAGAACAGTTTTGGAGACTGAAAACAATTTAATCTCTTAAGTAAGCTTCACGATCTCTCTCCCTCTCCCTCTCTTCCTCTCCCTCTGTCTCTCTGTCTCTCTCTGTCTCTATCTCTCTGTCTCTGTCTCTGTCTTGCTCTCTGTCTCTCTCTGTCTCTCTCTCTCTCTCTGTCTCTGTCTCTGTCTCTGTCTGTCTCTGTCTCTGTCCACAGACATTTTACTTGACCAGGTTACCTTAGAGAAAATAGTGCTGAACTTCAGGCTGTATTTTACTTATATTACTTTAAAATTTGAATTTGTTCAAGTCTGTGCTTACGGTTTGTGCCTGGCCACCCATCAGATCCATGGTCTGTCCCGACTCCACCCCTCAACCTCTCCGTGCTCTCACTTGCTAATGTCTTTCATTTTTCTGATAAGTTCTTCATGGGAGATATCTCTCTCTCTCAGCTGTATTTTTAGAGGAAGAGATGAAAGGAGACTGAAAAAATTAAAATCAAGATAAGCAGCCGCTCCTTCGGAATGTTATTAAGAGGATGTGGTCATTTCAAAGTCCTTCTCCCTCTTCTCTGCAGTGTTTGACATCTGAAATCATAGGAGATACTATCATGCCTGGCTTTATTAGCATGGCTAGAGTCACCTGTTTCAAAAAGCCCAGGAGCGTTCACCTGAAATGAAAAGAGGCACGTAGGGAGAGATAAAGGGAAACTCAATGTTGGCAGCAGGAGACGTGGGCTCTCTGCCAGCCCCCTGCAGCTACTGTTAAGTGGCCCCATGAATTTATTTTACAGGGAGATCATTTCCACTATCTGAGTGTACTGGGGCTGTCGTTGTTCGGACAAGCTACAGAAAAGCCAGTTAAGTTGCATAACATGTTCCTCTTCCAAGGAGAACAGGGAAGGGGGTAGTAAACCAGGCAAGGGAGTGGGCTGTGGAGATGAGAAGAATTGGCCTTTGGGTATTCAGCAGGGTTTGCAGAGACGGGTCAAAGGGTTCAAGAGAGATTTGGATGGAGGACTGGGCACACCAGTGCCCTGGAGCTCCGACATGTGCCAGCATGGTGAGATCTTGCTGGGAAGACAGGTGAAGGAGCGCTAGGGTGGAGGGGGGGCGGACAGCAGGCTCTGCTGCAGCTGGAGGAGCCTGGAGCAGCCCCTGAGCACTGAGTTCACCCTTTTATGTCAGCACACTAGATGGAGCAGTCCTAAAGGATGGAGGAGGCGAGGGGAAGGAGGGGAAGTCCTCCCAGGTGCGATGACCTTGTAGTCCAGAGTTCACTGGAGAATGAAGACTCCAGTGACCCTGCTCACTGAGTGTGTCACTCAATCAGAACAACCTGACTTGGGTTTGGAGCTCCTTCATGCTTGTGTCACTGATGGCTCGTCAACTGTCCTCTCTTCTGGCCCGTTGCTTTGAGTTCATTAGAATGGCTGTATAGTTCATTGTCCAGCGGAATAAGGAAGCCTGGCGAGCAGGCAGGTGGTTTGACTCTGGCTTTTCAGCACAGGTAGATTTAGTGGGGAAGAGGCCAGGGCAGGAATAAATGAATCGTCCCACCTGGTGCACCCGTTTAGAGCATCTTCACTATTGTATTAAGGGAAGAGAAGATTGGTAAACTAGCAGGAATTGATTTTTGGATCACTGAAAACTAAAAAGAAGGCCAAGAACTATGATCATTTTAAAGGAATAAGTAGTTATTGAGACTGTTTTAATATGATGCCTGACCTTCAGTAGGAGTTGGATAGTGGCGTTCCATATTGTATGAATTGCTTTGACTTCAAATTGTGTTATTTAGGAATTTTCTTGAACTAGGCATGTCTTATTTAAATGTTAAAAGAACCGGGTGTGTATATGAACAGCTGATAATCAAATGTGAGGCGAGTTTGCTGCTTTAAAGGGAACTGTTTATAAAAACACATGGTGAGAACATTGTTTAAGGAATTTGAGCAGTGCAAAGAAATGAGCAGAAGAGCTGTGAAGAGAGCGAGTTGGAGGGAGAAAGGGAGACTTTGCCTTTAAGGTGTGAGAATGACATCCATTTCTCAAGCAAGTAATGGTCAACAAATGCAACTTACATGACATGAACAATGACCAATCAGAGTGAAAAGCCAGCATAGCCACAGGACGCAAGTACATTACTCATAGTAGTAGACTAATTCTACTACTAAATCTACTCCAGAATGGGTAGATTTTGGAAGGAGGAGAACAGCAAGAGAGAGGAGGAACAGGAAGCAACAGGCAGCTGGCTGGGAGCTAGATGATTGGAGAGGCTGCCATTTTGAGTGGTGACTTTGAGTGACCAGGATGTAAGGCCCGGAGGCATTTATGGGACGTAGAGTTTCCAAATGATTAATCCTAGCCTTCTCCCTGATGGACAGTGATGGGGAGGAGCCTCGGCCAGTGTTGAGGGAGGGAGTGGTCTGGAGTGATTGCGCTGCCAAGAATCCCAAGAAATGCCAAGCGAGCAGGCCATCATGGGAATTGGTTTCAGGACTGCAGGGGAGCATATCTACGCCCAGCTGATTTTTATTTGAGAACTGGGCATCCGTTAGTTATCTGCAGAATGCAGTGATGTGCATGGCTCTTAAGATGCTTTAGAAGAGTGGTATGTGAGCCTGGGCAGTATTCTTGCTCCCCAAGTTCTTCCAATCTAAGGGCCGTGGGTGATGCGGTTCACGGCAGAGCCTGAGCACAGGATGAGCATGAGGAGAACCACTAGCTGACAAAAATCAGTAAGGGATACAGGAAACCTGATGTTGCTTGATGGGCAAGGTAGTCTTCTTCTCTCTGTGTCCCAGCTCTCTACTATGAGTTTGTGCACAGACTTAGTAAATACCCTTCCTTTCCTCCCTCCTTCCCTCCCTCCCTCCTTCCCTCCCTCCCTCCTTTCCTCCTTCCTTCCTTCCTTCCTTCCTTCCTTCCTTCCTTCCTTCCTTCCTTCCTTCCTTCCTTCCTTCCTTCCTTTGCTTCTTTCCTGCTTTTCTTCCTCTTCTTCTCTAGCTTTCCCTTCTTCTCTCTTTCCCTTCTTTCCTCCCTTCTCTACCTTCCTCTCTCTATTCCTTTTTTGCTTCCTCCCCCTTTCTCTCCCTTCTTCCCTTCCTTCTCCCCTCCTTCTTCCCTCTCTCCTTCCTCAAAAGCTTAGTTCATGCTGGCTTTGGGTGAGCATCAGGAATACAAGGATGACTAAGGCCAAATAGTCATCTTTGAAAGCGGGATGCAGTGCAAATCGGCTACATGTCTGGCTATACTGGGAAAGTCTAAGTGGTGATAGGAGCTTTGGTGGATGAAAAGGAATGATATCTGTGGTGATAATATATAAAGGAATGAGGTAGAAAGTCTTACAGTGTCTTTGGGGAAACAATGCGAAGCTAACACCAAGAGAATCCTGAGTGCATGCTGCAATATATGATCGATATTTTAGGGGGGTCTTTGAAGCAGTTGGGGAGTAAGGTGAGGAAGGGAAATGGTGATGAGACTTGCACTTGAGCGGTACCCCTGCTATGGCTGTGGGGGGGGGGGCTGTGGGGTTCAGGACCGCATTCAGACACATCACTAGAGCTTCCACCGTACTGCTCAATGCATCCTCCCGGGAGCACCAGCAGCGGCAAAGCCTGGGAGTGTGGTAGAAATGCAGACTCTGGGACTTGCTCAGGTGCACCTGTCATTTGTATGAGATTCCCAGGCACAGTGCTTCTGAGAAGGACTGGCTTTTGGAGCCATACTGATGGCTCTAGGAGAGGGGACCCAACCTTTTATCTTCTATCCTTCCACAAGCTTACAAACCATCCCATGAGTTCTGCGACCTCTCTTTGGAAAGACTGATTCGAAATGTTTTTAAAGTTTAGGATATTTCAACAATATGAGAAATTCTACCTCCTGCTCTGAGCCCAGGGCAGTTGGGCCATCATGATGATCCCATGATCTTCCCTCCACCCTTCTAAGGCTTCCTAAATCATTTATTGAAGGTGTCTAGCTGCACTTTGTATGCAGGGGACACATCCATTGCTGGTCTAGGCAAACAGTCAAAGGAGAGGTCTTCCGGCTAGTGAGAACCTTGAAGGGAGACAGTTGCAGAATTCTTTGGTCCTGTCCATGCTTTCTCCGAGAGAAAGCGAGGTTCTAGGGTTGGATTGTTGGATGGTTTATAGAATGTAACGCTTTTCCCAGCCTTGGAAGGAGTTTGGGTGTCAGTTTTATCACGAGGGTAATGGAAAGCAGTGAATGGGTAGAAAGAAAATTGGAACACATTGATTTAAACCATATTCATTTTCAAATTGACAATTAGTGACTTGGAAGAAAATCAATCAACCAGTGACTTCCTATTCAGAGGTGACACTGATCAAGATGCACTGTATTCACAGACTGACATGCTGAACTATGACCCTTTTTACACTTCCTTAAAGATAATTAAAAAAATTAAAGAGATTCTCATTCAAGAAGCTTCCGAAGAATAACAATGAAAGACGTAGGGGGAAAACCCAATAAAACGTAACATTTTATTATTATTATCTTAGAAGGAATTCACCAAAGGCTTCATATTATGCTATGGCATCTTTAATTATAAAAATAAGCAAATAAAATAACTTGCATCTGTCATTACCATGATATGTTTCATAACCTTTATATGCACACGGAGCTTAAAAATGTAATTTAACAATAAATAATGACATATACCAGATATGCTCACTGTTTATTCCAGTACTCAGCCAAAAAAAACCCTAAATATCATTTAAATTATAAATACATAATGCAAATATAATGGCACAAAAATGTCTAAAGTGCAACCAAATCACGATAGAGAAATCAGACAAAACTGGTCTAGGTTAGTCCCCTCTCCCCCTCCCCGCCATCACTCGGTAGTAAACACAACAAGAAGCTTTGGGAGCTTAAGGAGGAGTTGGAGGGACTGGGGTGAGAAGAAGAAGAGAAGCAAAAAAACCAAAAACCAAAACAAAACAATTAGCAACATTGTGAGAACTGCTTCTTTCTGTATGTGTCGATATACGATATACTTATTGCAGCTACTGTGGGGAGAAAGGGGATCATGACCATTTGAAGAGGTCATTGCAGAAAGTGGGGGAGTGGGGAATGAGGGAGAGAGAATCGACTGGTTGAAATAAGAGGGAATTTTGCTAGAAACTCTCGTGAACTACTTATCACTCTGGGGTCCTGGCTTAGTGGGGTTTGCAAAATGGACAACAACAACACACACACTTGATTAGCTTTTCTGGTTCAGAGAACTCAGCCTTGCCTGGGGAGGGGCGTTTTGGGGGGTGGGGAGGAGAAAGAAGAGAGTCTAACTTAGAATATGCTCTACCTGATTTCCAAGAGGCTAAGGCAGTGTCCATTTGTTTGGGACCTGGGGATGGGACAGTTCTGAGTATAAAAATGCCCTTAACAATCTGATGTCAGCACGCTTAGAGGCGGTGTGGGGACGAAGGCAGCCATGTTTGTGCTGCTGCGGCTGCTGTTGGATCTGCTGCTCTTATGCTTGGTCCTTCAGCAGCACATTACTGGTTTTAAAGGCTTTATGGTAAAGTTGTATTGCTTTTCTTTTCTGTTTTCTTTCTTTCTTTCTTTCTGGAGAGGTACCCTCCTTCTTCCTCCCACCAGGGTCCCTTATCAATCGATTTGGTTAACTCTGAAGTTTAGCCTAGTGAGAGTCAAGCACCAATAGTTTCTACCCAAGTGAGCTTGGAGTGGTCCCTGCAGAACTACCCCTCCTCCCTCCTCCTCTCTCAGCATTGACCTTTGGTGGGCAGTGACACTTGTAAGGGGTTATTGGGTTCAAGGACAGTGACCCTGAGAAACTACCGTTGTTCATAGATAGGTTAATCGTTTGGCTTTAGTGCCTGCCATCTTGTAAACATCACGGCAGAAATGATCAAACCACCAGCTCGTTTTCTTTTCCTCCTTTCTCTTTCCTTTCCTTTTTTCTTTCCTTTTCTTTTCCTTTTTCTTAATTTTAAGATCCTACAAGAGATGGTCCAGCTGCCAGGACTACTTTAGTGGGCAGCATGCTATAGGACAAAAATGTAAGAGGAGTTTATTAAGGCTGGACAGCCCAGGGTTATTTATACTCCCTCAGCCCCAAGTCCCCCGGACTAAAGACTCAAAGGCTGATTGACTCATTCCCGATTGACTCAGTGGAAAAATCTCACACATCTGCCAGAGTGCCAGGCACTGATGGAAGGTGGGGTGTTAAGAACTGCCACCTTCCGAGGGTATAGTAGGCCTTAGCATTGTCAGCGGTCCAAGCCCAAAGGGGTGTTCTTCAATTGCTGTAATTCCCAGTTGGATGTGACAGAGCTGTTTCAGGATAGGTCTAAGTCAAGTGTAGCCTCTGGGTGGAGGTGGGCTGGGAGACTAACATCTTACCTAAGGTCCTTCAGATAAACCAGTTTGTTTTTCCTATCTCATATATAGGCCCATCTTAAAAGTTCTGATGTTGAGTCAAAACTATTTCTACCCCCTTAGTTATAAAAAAGGCCACAAGGAGCATTTATGTGGATATCTGGAAGTGAGATAGTTATTCCATTCCCAGGAAAAAAAATAAAGCTAAGTTACAAAACTAAATCTATATGCAATAAAGTTATTATATACTGCTTTGTTTAAGCAGAGTCCTCTGGAATTTATGTACAGTACATTAGTTTTCAGCTATTTATATTCCACAGTTAGACCTTAAGATTCTCTGGTTTTTTTTTAAGACAATTGTTAAAGATACTTTTAAAGCTCTGAGCAGTTACAGTACATAAAGATGTTAGATTTTGTGTTTCATTCGATGCAAGAAGTTGCAGGCCCAAAGTCTGGTTGGAGAGCCAGGCTTGAGCAATTTGGTAAATGTGTCAGAAAGGAAACTAGACATCGGAGGATCGAGACCATAAGACACTACTAGCTCATTAGAGATCAAGAATTCAAACATGATATTCATATTCGTCCATGGCCAGCACAGATTCATAACACGAATTCCACTTAACATCTTTATGAGCATTGAAGACATGCATTTAAATAAAATGGTTTTGTATCAGCTAACTCTATGGGGCAACCGTTCTAAAGGGCTCCACATCTTCAAAGTACAATGACCAACCAGGCAGTTACTTGAATGTTCTGTGTTTGAGGGTGGTTAGAGAGGAGCTGGGAAGAGATATCATGGAGGAAGAAGATAAAAGAAGGTTACGTTCTCCAGAGGAGAGGCAGAATGATCGCACAGATTCTGTTTGTGGAATGGCTGCCATTGCAGAATTTGAGAAAATGATCACAGAAGCCTAGTTTCATGCAATTTTCTTTAAGTGTGTGGGGGGGGTGGGGGATAGAAAATAGGAACTACTTTAAAAAAAAAACCAAACCAGGCACAGTACACTCAAAATTGGTGTGTCAACACCCCTAAAATGATACTAGTTTGGTGAGGTTATGGATTGAATCTCTCTCCCTGGTTATGCACTCTCGTGGGAGGTGCGTTTGATGTGGGAGGGAGCGTCCCCCTCACCTCGGAGATTCCTGAGGAGGACCTTCAGCTTCTGGGGCTCGTTGGTGCGCCTCCTGTTGAAGTCAGCACGCGGGTGTGTTTGCCCACAGTGGTCCGTCTGCAGGATGTGGAAGAGGCTTGCCATGTTGGGCCCGATTTTCTCCATCAGGCTGTCTCTGATGGTGCTGACCGTATCTTCATCGCATTCCAGAAGGCTTCGGATAAGTCTGTTGTAGTATCTGCATGAGGAAAGGGAATGCATGGTGATAGTCATTTGTAAGACCCTGGCTTGGCCCAGGACGCCAGCCCATACCACTCCAGCTGCCCAACCCTGCAGATGGCCAGTACTTCATCAGCGGCAGTGGCATTTGCATTCCTAACTTACACAGTATCTTTTGAGTCTGAGCGCTGTGCTCCCTGGGTTTATGTCATCATGCAAGACAACTCCACCTTCGTGTTCTAGTTCACTAGGTTTAGATGCCACTTTGCGCAGAAGGCTGACTGGGATGTGGCATGTTTGAGCACTGTAGAATTTTAGCACTACATGGGACCCCAGAGATGCTGTAGCAGCCTCTTTTTTTTTTTTAATGGAGAAGAAATTAAGGTGGGATGGCTGAAGTGACACTGAGTTAATGGCAGAAGTGGGATTTCATCAAATACAACAAATACAATCAGGTGACTCCAGCAGCCAATGCTTATGCTGGTAGCGAGCGAATCTGGACTTATAGTTGTTTGGCTATGGAGTTGTCATTTTCCTTTTTCTTGGTGGTATAGGTGTTCAGCCACATGAGCACATTAGTGCTGATTTTGACTAAACTTCTACCTAAGCCCCCTGTCTTCAGTGGCCCTTACATTTTTGTTCTACAAAATATACTTTGTCTCATAGTCAGCCAGTCTTAATAAAGGCTAGTACAGGAAGTGTTTTTCATGTTTCCTCCAAAATGCCACTAAAGTCAGAACACGAGGTAGTGAGGATATTTAAAAGGGAAGATGAATGGTCCTTAAGGATCCATGCCTCTGTAACTCCATGAAAACATCTCTCATTGTGCTGGATTTTATTGGCCTCTTCCTTTTTTTGGATTTTTTTTTTTTTTTTTTGGTTGTGGGGCTTGAACTCTGGACTGGGTGCTGTCCTTCAGCAATTCAGCTCAAGGCAAGTGCTCTACCACTTGAGCCATAGTGATGAATTGGAGATAAGAGTCTTGTAGACTTTGCTGTCAGGGCTAGTTTTGAACCACAATCAGCTTCCTGAGTACCTAGGATTACAGTGAGCCACTCATGCCTGGCTTTTTTGAATATTTTACAGATATTAGGTTACCATCTCAGAGACCGTTTTGGATGCTTCCATGATTAGGTTGTTTTCATGACTAATCTGGACATTCATTAAAGGCAGGATTATGTCCTCATTTCTTCTATCTCAGACATGACTAAGTTTCATCAGGCTATCCTGCCTGCTTAGTGGAGATTTGCAAATTTACTTGTGGCTATTAAGGAAATAGAACTTAAAACAAAAAGCCCTATAATTCCTTGCAGTAAATCATGATTTTCTTAATACAAGTTGTAGCTCTAGGTCTGGCATACTTTTGAAAAAGAGAAAAAAAACCCTTGTATTTAGTATACATTCTCTTCATCAGTGGAGCAAATTCTTTACAACTCCCCCAAATGATGAAGCTAAGTGTTATGGCTCAGAAAGGATTAAATTGTCTTAACATTTAGAATGTAAGAATGACTTTGTGCTGTCCCCTGGGAGACAGCTCAGGTATTTTCCAATTCGAGTTGGGATGCCTGTGCTCCATTTTGAGGTGACAGTTAGTTAGCAGAATGCATTAGCCCTGCATTTCATTGATAGGAGACTCTCCTGAGGATGATGACCTGCTGTACTGATGCGAAGAAACCCTTTCCTTAGAGGAGCCTAAGGATCTCTGGGGCCCCGGGGGTCTTCCATGAAAAGAAACCTGTTTATTTTTAACTCACCTCCCAGAGTACAGGATCAAACATCTTTCCAGAATAACTTAACCCCCAGAGAGGTCCTTTCAAAGAAGGACAGTAAATAGAGTGGAACATGGATAATTAAGCAAAGCGTTTGCCCTTCTGTGTGGGAGAGAATGAAGAGTAGTGGCTGGGTCATCCACAGTCCTGGCTGTTACCAACCCCCCTGCCTCTCCCTGCCCCTCCCCCCCCCCCCCCCCCGGACAATTAAGTCCAGCTGTGAGCAAAGCTGGGATTCTCTGGCACAGAGGACGATTTTCCAACCCTTTGGAATGATAAAGCTCATGAGCCAAGCAGAGCTTACTTGGATGGAGAAATGGGGAGAGAGCTGGAGTTGGAACAATTTAGAATAAACAACTTGGTACCAACAGTTTCAGACGTTTAAGTACACTTGGATGTCGAGGCATCCCGTAACCCCTGGGCTCTGCCAGGACCTGGATCCCTTGGATGACTATGTCTATTTCAGAGGGTAATTAGTTCCTCGAGGATGAGGTCTAGCAAGGACTTCAGAATTTAGAAGTTAACCCTTCCACTTTGAAAGAACCACTCACGCCAGATGAGCACCCACACAAGATGGGAAAAGTGTCATCTTTTCTTAGAAAGAAGCAGAAAGAATGGAAAATTCTTCTTAGAAAGAATCAGGGCTATGTGTCTGGATGAAGAGGTTTAATCCCCTTAAGGAAACCACACTTTTCTGCCTGGCCTTATAGCTTTAGGCTCGTCTGGTCCTTTGTGTCCCCTCTGTCATTTACCCATCTCTGCCTTTACTGTGTCATTCCTTGATGATTCCTGCCCGAGCTCAGCGTTTCTTGGCAGTGACCCTCACCAGCCGGACTGCCTTCGGTGGTCGAACTCCAAATGTATCCCTTCCTTACTGCTTCCTTTTTGGAACCCTATAAACTCAGCTTCTTAAAGTGGAAAAAATGCATGGCTCCTCAGACTAAGCATATGTCAGGCTATCTTGATGTCAGATAGCTAACCCTCCCATCTCCCTTAAGGCTGGAACGTGACATTCACTTCTGGAGTACATTGGCCAATGAGATCTTTCCTATACAGGTCACCCAGAGACTTAGGTTATTTAATATGTTGAACATCCAGCAAAAACTGCCTTAGTAATGTTCTTGTTATGAGTATAGATATGGGAAAACATGCCTATTTTTCTTTGAAGAAAGTGAGTGTAAAATTAATTTGTATACATCATGATGTGTATATATATATATATATATATTCAATTATGCTTGATATTCTATTTTTGGTTTGTGAATATTTCTTGCAGGATTTTTTTTAACGGTTGCCATTTTTTGAAGTAGAAATCAAAATAGCTTGGCTCAAAGCCATGATAATTCTGGGACCAGCTCTGTTACTTACAAGCTGTGTGACCTTCAACAAGTCCCTTCTCTCTCTGAGCCTCCTCCATTCCTTGCTCAGGAAAGTGAGGCCATCAGCCCTGGGCAGTGGCAGTCTATGTTTCCAGTCTACACTTTTATTCTTACTTTAAGTAAAAAGAGTACAGCCTAGAGCAAGCCCCTTCCTTTCCCAGGGAAGTTAGGGCTAGTTAAGATTCTCTTCTTCATTTTTCTAGCACTGATGGTGGGTGGAGGGTGGTACTTCAAGGATTTGGTGGGCTAAGTGTTCTGACCTCTCAGCATAGAAGGACCTATTAAAGCATACTTTCTTCCCAATTGGAAAAGTCTGTTCCTGCCTTTTATTTTATTCCCCCCCTCTTGGTAGAGAATAAGATCAGATATTCTCCATAGCTACTCTTTCAGCCATGCTTCCCCAAATACACACATACTGCCTAGGAACGTTCTGTGTGAGGGTTTATAAATAGTCCTTTGTTTCCCTTGATCAATATTATTCTTCTGTTTCCTGTTCCCTATCCATGCCCCAGAGAATTGGACGCTTTGCCAGTTTTCCCACTCTGGGTCTGGGTTGGTGTAATTGGTTCCCAAGCCTTGCATGGTCCTGCCTGTTTGACCGTTTCCACCCCCCCACCCCCTGCCCTGGCATAGAAGGATCAGTTGGCACAGTCAGCTTGGGGAATATTTCAGTTCCCTTTTCTCTTCTGGGTGCACCTCTGTCATGGAAACCTTCCTCCTCCTCCCCCTCCCCCCACCCTAGTTCTGTGTCCTGGTCTAGTCACAGAGTCTTGGATTCTCCCAGCTCCAAATCTCATGCTGGATAAGTCACAGGAAGGTGGAATGAACCTGTAACTACTTCCTTTTGCGATTCTGTGCCAACTGGCAGCCAGTTTGCATGTGTCTATGGTGGGACAGAGGCTGGGAAAGCAGGATGTTTCAGGCGGGTGAGGAGCTTAAATAGAGCGAGTCAAGCCCAGCCTGGAACCGGAAATCTCTACAGTCCCGAGCAGGAATAATATTAGCCAACTGAAGTGAAATACTTGGAAAAAGGTAAGCCTTGCATGAGAGAGTCCGTGGTTCAAGAGTTTGCGACTTCCCCCTTGCTGACCTTTCCTATTAAGATCAAATAAGTAATCAAGATAAAAAAGGGAGACAGGCAGACTTCTTTGTGACCATTTTTAGAAGGTGCTGTAAGTAAGGCACCTGTGGAAAGGAATAATGATCTGGTAAAGCATTCTCTTGACCGGTCCTTTTAGGTAAATGGGGGTCCCCAGTTCAAAATCTGCATCTTCTCTTCTACAGCACCTCTCCCTTCCTAAGGGAGAGTACTATTTCAGCTGAAATGAGAGAGATCAGAAGTGTCTTGAAATTGCTTGAAGGCCTTATTATGAATCATATTTGTCACATAATCCTTAAGGATCCTTTAAGGATCTCAACATATGATAATGTCTTTGTCCACACATCCCTCCCTGTTACGGCACAAGCATGGGCTTTGTCCTTAGTTTTCTGGCTAAGAGTTTTTTGTTTCTTTTCCTTAGGGTGAAGGGAGTCTCTGACAAATAGTTAAGCCTGCCACCCCTGCCCCTATGCAACAAGACTCTTCCTAGGAGAATTTTAAAACCAAGATCCATACAAAGAGACACGCCACTCAACGGCCTGATTATCTTGTGCTGAGAGAACTGGTTAAAAACCTATGATAGAGTAGCTTCCAAGTGAGGCCTTCACAAGTGAGTTCCATAAATCGACTTGCAGTTCTGAAGGGACCTAACCTGTAGTCAAGATGAATTAGAAGTTTTACAAAGGTTACACGCTGGGGGGTCTTAACCTATCAGAAGGGGCAGCTGATCTTCTACCTGCATGCACGTGCTTATATGACTAAATCACCCCCTTGCCCTCACCCCTCCAAGCTCCCAGGACTTGGCTGTTACTACTCTCTGAAGAAAGGTAGCAGAACCCTGGCTAGGGTATTAATCTAGGGAATCAGAAGAACATTGATCTTGGTGAATTATATGCAAATATTCATCATAGAAATTCAAGAGTGAGAGTGAAGTTTTCGGCCTAGAGCATTCCACAACTGGCCTCTATTACCCCTAATCCATCCACACCCACCCTGGAATTAGAGTGCCAGCCCTCCAGACATCAGAAGTCCACTCCTCAGCTGGCACAGACCATGAACCTGAGGCACAGCAAGGCCTGGTGCTTAGATACAGTAGGAGCTCAGTGACTTGGGGTCACCTGGGAGCATGTGATCTGGGAAGCCATTGATGTGATCTCAGACTAGAGAGATGGGATGACATAAGGCCTCGAAGGGAATGTGAGAATGGTCCTGGCTAGCCATTGCACTTTTTTTTTTTTTAAATGCAGAGGCAATCCAGCTCTCAGGGAAGTGAGATGGGCTGTTCTAGGTTATCTGGTGAAATATCTGGCTGGCTTAGGACTGATGGGAAAAGTGTGCAGATTCGATAATCATCTGCATTATGACATTTGACCAGGGACTTAAAAAAATATGGCCAATTGCTCTGCTTGCAGACTCATAATTTCAGACAAATCTGATGCCTGAAAAGGTGGTTTCCAGAAGCTTTGCCATTTCCTTTGGGCTTATGTCAAGAAGTGGACAAAGAAATTGCACCCAGGGATTGCTGCAAATGAAGCTTTCTGCTAGCTGCATGGAAAGACTTTTCCTGTAACAGTGGGGGGAAAAATCCAAGCTGCTTCAACTGTCACAACCAATCACAAGCATATTTTTCCTGCAAAAGCTGGGAAGACTGCAGGCTAAAATAAGAGCGTGAATGTGGCAATTTAACACTCCTCCCGGTCTTGTTCTGCCAGCCAGCGCCCCCTCCCCCTCCCCGGACTGCAAAGATGGGGGCCCAGTTGGTACCTGTTGGGGAAGTGATTGGGCAGCTGGACAACTTCCGTGATGGCTTCTGGGTTCCGCTTGGCAATGCTGCACATGTTTAGCTTGCTGTAGCACTCTTCCTGCACCTCGGCAATCATCCTCTGGAAAGTAGAGCATCTCCGAATGGCGACGAAGACCTTGGCGGTGACCCCGTTGGCAATGCATTTTAAACTCTCTTTGACAAATGCTTTTCCCTGCCATCGAGAGGAGACAGGAGGGAAAGCTTTAGCTTGACCTGACAGAACAGTTGGGTGGACAACATGGGGCTGGTATTATGGTGGGGTGGGGTGGGGGGTGGCGGGGGCGTGCTTTGGTATTACATTGACACGTCCTTGCCATTAGAAGAATGTATGCTATGGCTAAGAAGGAAAACATAAAAGCCCAAACCAAAACCCTTTCTCCCTGACTATCTTGAGAATTGAACAGTACAGAAAGAAGATGAAAAAGAATTAAAAGAAAAAGGAGGCACCATTAGTAATCCCTCTGCAGCTTTAAAAATCGTCCTAACCCAACTTTCACACTCTTGGTATTGAGACCTTAATCCTTCAGATTATCTAGCCTAGCATGTTAAGTCATACAACATGCACTACTTTGTTAGAATATTTATTTTATTATATTGTTTGTTTCCTTTTGAAGAGATCAAGATTTTTCCCCTCAGCCTCCTGACCCCCAGACTTTGCCACCTCCTTCCAGTCACACATGGGGGTGAATCTTATCCAGAACCTACTTCCTGGCCCAAAGCGTGGTGTGTGTGTGTGTGTGTGTGTGTGTGTGTGTGTGTGTGTGTATGTGCGCGTGCGCACACGTGCGTGTGAGCATGCACCCTGGGATGGTATTTGGAGAAAGAGGTTGGAAAACAGGGCTGGTTCTCTCCAAGACCGGTTCCTAAGAGTAATATCCTGTACTCTTGTTGAAGACACACAGCCAGTGGGGACAGAGGTCATGGGCCTTATTACCTGAGTGTCAAATTTGGCAGCGCTGTATAAGAAGGATTTACAGATGTCAAACATTCCATCGGTGTCACAGGTGGAGTTTTCCAGGCAGGCAAACGCCCCGCAGCCAACCTGCAGGGCACTGTTGAGGCAGCGAACCACTTCAGCTGGAAGAGACAAGCACATCCAGTCTGGGTCAAACCAAGGGGGTCGGTCCTATGAGAACAGAGGCCACGTTGAAAGGCAGGGGATGGGAGCTGATCTCAGAAGTCAGTGCTGAGGTGAGGGCCACTGGATAGGCCCATCTGGAGGATTAGAGGTGAGCGAGGAGGGTGGACCATCCCTGTTGCTTCTAAGAGCCAGCAGCCAGGAAGCTGGGATGAGTTCTCCTTCTGAGACTCATTCTCTAGGTCTCGTGACTACCTACATATTGATGGTTGGAATCCAGGCAATGCTTCCTGACTGCTCTCTAGAAGACTAGAGAATCTAGCTGGCTATTTAAAAAAAAACCCACACTGGAATAAAAGTCATAGGATTCAAATCCAAATGTCAGAGGGGAATTGGCCAGGAGTCTACTTGAAGGGAGACTCCAATTTGGGGCTTTTCACTTACCCTTGCTTTGGCAGAAAGAAATCTGTTCTATGCCTCCCCCCACCCCCAAACCCCTTGACAAGATAGTCTTTAGAGGTGTTTAGAGGTGTGGATCATCTCTCCTAGTACAAACCTTTTATTTTTACAAAGAGAAAAGAAGCAGGTGTGCAAGAACAAGGCCAAGGCACCCCCTTTGCAAGAGCGTGGAGGGGGGGGGTGAACCCTGCAAAGAACTTGCATGAGGCTTTTTACATTGGGGATAAAATTTCCCATAAAAGTAAATTCTCTCCTACAGAAAGGGGTGGGGTGGGGGAGTGTTCTGGCAGGCAGGCAGCTCCGGCAAGAAATGATCTGTAGCCTTCGTACAGGAGGATTCTCCTGGGAGATCAAAAGCAAGCGAGGCTCTCCGAGGCAGCCCCACCCCCTCCCACCACCCGCAGCCTCTGGGATGTTACAAGTCATTTCCCTAATTATATATTTCCACGGATTTCAAATTATAACTTTGCTTTAAGCAGTTTTAATATGCATTAGGGCTGCTATTGTTTTAGGCAAGCTGGAATTGTGAATCACAGCATCTCTATAGCAACAAAGTACAAAAGGAAGTGGGGTAGAGCCCCTCCTCTGGGCAGGGACCTGAGCTCCAGCAAGGAGAGTCCTCCAGCAGGGCCCTGACACCTGCGATGCTATCTTGGCTGACAGGTGGGGAGGGGGGGCAGAGGACAGAGCTGGGAAGGGGCATGCAGAGGGCTCCAGGGACAGCGGTGTCACTGCGGGCTTCGTAATGCCCTTCTCCCTTCAGAGGCTCATTAGCTGCTCCAGGGAGTCAGGGCGAAAGTAAGACCACCACCTTGGAGAAATAGCTGCTTAATTTCACAAATATTCTCTCCCCCACTTTCCTTAGGGGCTCTGGATCCTGGGCTGCCCAGGGGGTGTTTGAATGGAGCTCAGCGCCGAGGAGGAAAGGCAGTGGTGCTGGGGGTGGGATGTTGTAGGGTTTGCTCTGAATCCACCCTGGGTTTGTCAGATTTGAGCATTAGGGTTCTGAAGAGAGAGAGAGCTTCTCCAGGTTGAGGCAGAGAAGTCAAGTTACAGGGTTTTCAGGGGGGGGGGAGAGAGAGAGAGAGAGAGAGAGAGGCATGAGACAAGCCGTGTCTCACCTTAAGACCGGCTTCTGGAAAGTATGGAGTGCGCTTTGAAGCATGCCAACATTCAAGGCTTTCCATGCCCCCTCCCCCTCAAGAGGGTACGTGCCAGATTTCAGGCAATCAGGCTGGGCTTATGCAATGAAATACCCTCAGCCGAGCGCCCAGCTTCTTCGGTAGTCGCATGCAATCATTAAACAAAGGAGCTCTACTTCTTAAGGCTATTGGGTTACACTGGCAGTTTATTGCCACCAGGCATGAAGTACATTTATTATCAAGATCAGCCACCACAGGCACAGTTGCAAAAGTGAGAGGTAAATGAGGGCAGCTCTTTTTTGGGGGGTGGGGTGGGGTGGGATTGGGGGGGGGGAGAAGAGAAAATGGGTCCTGGGTTGGCGCTGGCTTACCTGAGGTCTGAGATGCCACCCGGGATTTCCTGGGGCTCACAGAGTCATTCTGCTCTGCCTCATGGCTTGCAGAAACGCCGATCACCAGCACCAGAAGTACTGCTGAGTTTTGGAGCATTCTCTGAGAAGTTTCCGCTAAGTTGTTGGTTTTTTTTTTTTTTTTTTTCCTTTCCTCCCCCCCCTTTCCTCTTTCCCCCTCTGGGCTTGAGTGAAGATGTGGATCTGGATATGCTGAATTCTTAGGTGGGGATTTGATGAGGATTTTTTTTTTCTTTGCTGCTGCTGCTGCTGCTCCTCCTCCCCCCCTCCTCCACCTCCTCCTCCTTCAGCTGCAGTCGCTGCTTCTTGAACCTCTCTGGCTTTTTGCAAACTGGGGGCCTAAGAGCTGCACCCAGGGATTTTATAGCCGTTCTTATCGGTCCTGGGGATCAGGGACCAATCAGATCCCTCAACTGGTCTGTTTAGCCAATAGGAGGACACGCTTATTCAGCTGGAGCTTTTTGACTTCTTAGAAATATTTTCCAGAAAATTAAAAGTACCTGCTGCCAATATTTTATGTGTGTGTGTGTGTGTGTGTGTGTGTGTGTGTGTGTGTGTGTCAGTAGGGATGTGTGAAAAAAAGCTATACTCATATAATTAAATGATCATTTTGTATTGGTTAAATTAGAGAGAGATTGTGAAAATCTCTCCTAAGTGCCTTTGAAATGTATTCCTTTTTTTTTTTTTAATAAATGAACGACTGGGGTTGGAGCTGGGTGGCGTGGTTGGGATAGGGAGATATAATCTGTTGAATTAGAATTGAGGCAGAATTGAATCTAATTTACAGCAGGTTCAGTTTCATTTGACCAGTGTTCTCTGTAATATCCCCAATTTTTTTTGCCTGTATGTGATCACATGTACTGTGCACCCATGATGTCTTTCTGTGGTTCGTGGGCATCCTGAGTTCTTCTATACATGCATGAGCCCTCAGGAGGGGTGGATGTGAGTAGAAAAGCCCTGGTTAGCTGTGATTTTACAGTTCTGAGCTGTGGTCCCAGCTTCTCTATTGATCTGTATCATGACCTTGGCCTCATGCTTTTACTTTACTTTTCCATTTGGTAAATGCCAACATTGGGACTCTGTGATTTCTTACACCTCTAAAATGACCCTGATTCTCTAGTGACAGATGAGAAGACTTCTGTCTTCTAAGCAGACCCGAACACTTCAGGAGTGTTAGTTACTATAGGCATGTGCATGCACAGCTCACACTATACTCAACAGGGAGACATCAGGAATGCCTGAAAATTAATAAAGTGTGTATTCAAGCCAAGCAACTTTATAATCACGTTGAAACAATAAGCTGGCCAAAGCAAGACTAAACCTGCTGGGTAAACCAGTTCACTTCTTGGGGGGTGGGAAGGAGGCGGGGAGGGGCGTGGGGGTGGGGGAAGACGAGACTGGGAAGAAGGTATAGAGAAAGACCAAGATGTGTAGGAGAGAAGACTGATAAACTCTAGACTTAATGGGAAAATTACAGTGGAATCACAAATCATGTCTAGTATAGCTGCTCATATTCTCTTGTAAGTAGGCTCTAGGCAACATAGAGGCTTGTCCGTAACTTGTGAAGGTAGTTAATGATCCATCCAAGGACTTCTTAGGGTGTATGAAGGTGGTCATTAAGGCTGGGGTAAGGTGGAGGGATTAAACAATGAAACCTTTAAACATTTTTTTCAGGAGGTGAATGAGAAAGGCCATTGGGATTGCACAGACTTGGACAGGATGATCTTGTTAAGGAAGGCTTCTAGTGGCTTCAGTTTAAGTCCTAAAGTCTTCACTTGAGTTTTTTTTTTAACCATGCTGATTTTATCTATCACCAACCAGATAGAGAATCAACTATACACGTGTGGGGGAACTGAGGTTTGCTGGGTGATGTACAGCCCATCCTTTGCAAAAAACAAAACAGAACAAAACAAGTAGTTGTTGGAAGCAGGAACATGAGCTGGAAAATGGATGAAGGAATAGAAGTCCAGGAAATCACTAAAAGAGAGGAAACAATGTTCAGATTTTCATTAAATAATTTGGACATTTTAATTTACGTCAACAGTATTGGTAGTTTGCTGGTGCCGAGAGATGAGTAGGGAGAGTAAAAGAGAAGACATTGACCTAGGCAAATGAACGAGTCTTGACCTTAAAGGACTTGCAGCCAAGCTGGGAAGATGGCAAAAGCTTACTGATAACCAGCTTCCTAAAGCCTCTAGATGTCAGGACGTCATCTGGGTGAGGCACAAGCAGAGACTGGCTAGGTGGAAGGAAGGCTTGATGGATGGATTCTTGAGCATGAAATGTGGGGGAAAGATGGGATCCTTTTTGGCTGTTTAGTAAGAAGTTAGTTAAATCTGTTGATGTGTCATTTTTTTAAAAACAAAAACATAATTCTTGTTCGGGGAAGCTTTATTCCTATTGCTTTGGGAAGAAATAGTGACTATATGGGACTTTTGGGCATTGGTGGCTCACACCTATAATCCTAGCTACTCAGGAGGCTGCGATCTGAGGATCAAGGTTTGAAACCAGCCTGGGCAGGAAAGCCCAGGAGACTTGAGCAAAAATAAAAAAAAGCTCAGGGGCAGTGCCCAGGTCCTGAATTCACGTTCTATGATCGACAAATGAAAATAACTAAAAAAACAAACACAAGAGAAGAAAAGAAAAAGAAGTCTCTTCCAGAAAGGAAACAAGAAGACAGACACATATTCTTCCTGAGGCTTTTGGCCTCGCTCCTCAGCACACTCTGTGTGCTTGGGTGCTGTTTACGGTGAAGGCACCGCTGTGTGTGGCTCCAGCTGGGTTTCCTCGTATTGGTCCACTGGTTTGATGAGGTGATGGATCATCTCCGCCATCTACTTCCTTCTTCCAACTCTCTGATGCACTCACCAGAACACGGTGTCCCACAAGTTTCAGGATTTTTTTTCCCCTGATGCTGATTTTTATTCTTCTTATTTTGCTCACTCACCTTTGTAGGCCTAGAGGATGGTTGCTAGGTGTGGCAAGTGGTTCACCATGAAAGGTGAGCTGTCATTGGAGGAAATAGAATGACAATCAGGTCAGACAGCCTGACTGAATAAACCTAGTGTGTACCCGAAATGCCCAGCATCGAGCTCCTTCCCCGAAATCCACCACAAGTCTATCCAAATGCTCACTCACATGCTGCTGTGTTGGATTTTACGTAGCAATGACATAAGTGTTGGGAACTTGCAACTTCCTGGGGGACAAGGAGTCTGACAGAATATGGAAGAGCTTGATCATCAGATTCAGAGTTTGAATTTTATCCTGTAAACCATAGGGAGGCATTAGGGCTCTTTTGGGACAGGATTTCCCTCTGTAATACAGCCTGGCCTGGAACTTGCTAATGTGCAACCCTTCCCCACTCTTGTCTTCCGAGTGCTGTGATTACAGGCAGGTACCATGACACCTGGCTTTATTAGGGTTCCTGTTTTGGAATTATTAGATGATGTGTGGATGTCTGGAGAAGCTCTTTTCAACATGCATGCGATGGTTTGGAGGAAGAGAAGCTTGGAGGCTTGATGACAGTTGATAACGTTGCTTGTGCTGGCTGGAGAAAGGAAGGGAGGTAAGTAGGAGAGATTTTTCAGCACAGGGACATTTTCCCTTAGCTCCAGGACTTGGCTGGCAAAACTCTTTTTCTTGGTTTCAAGATCAGGAGCTCACACCCATTAGACTTGCCCCTCTCCACGCTGTGCCTATGACTTTTTGTCTAAAGGACCAACATTCTGTGAGAGCGGCGGAATTGCTTCACAAAAGGACTTCACTACCCACTCAGTAGGTGGAGAAACAGCCCGAGCCAGGCTGCGCAGTTGGGCAGGTGCCCGTGGGGGACAGTGGGTGGGAGGAGAGGGTATCTTTGCCATTGCCCCCAAGCAAGGAAAGTGCTAAGAAGTGTGAGAGAGGAGCTGCCAACACCCAAGGCTGGGTGATGATGCCCTGGCTGTGCCCGTGCATGGCTGGCATGAGTTCAGTGAGAAGATTAAGCCAAAAATCTCGAAGGCTTTGTTGGATTCAGCTAGCTTAAAGTTAAACAGGGAATTGCTCTTTGCCTTTTTTTAGTGAGAGAAGCATACAGCATAGTTATTCCTGCGCCCCCGCCCTTCCCCCCTTGGTAAATGTTCCTTTTGTTAAATTTAAAAAAATGCAAGGCCTAGCCGGCTTGGTCTGACATAGTGGCCAACGTTAGTGGCAGTTCTGGGCCTGCGCATTTTATTGTTCTGTTGAACGGTTCGAGTCTGTCTTCCTAACCTCAAGACAAAGAGAGAGAGAGAGGAAGATACGTGTTGTCCCGTTGAAAAACATAAGATGTCCCGTTGAAAAACATAAGAGGAGGTGGGTTTTTGGTGTGGATGGTCTCAGATTCTTGAGTAAATCTGTGCCTCCTAGACATCACTGCTTACTTAAAATTCTATCAAAGAAAGCTAGCAAGAAAATCGATTCAGAAGACAAACGCCTTCCATCCCATTGCCTCCATGGGTTTATGGAGGGTGGCTCTGTACCCGGGACTAGGGCAGGTGTGGCAAGAAATGCAGAAAGATGGCAGATCTTGTCTGTGCCTCAAGCATCCCCAAGATACTTCATGAAAGATGAGGATATTGTTTCCTACAACATAGCAAGTGGAACAGCGTATTGGTTTGAATTCAATGAGCATTGACTACAATGCTTGACGTGGCAGTAGACGCATCTCAGCTGGGGAGAGCAGGTCCCCTTCCATTCCTGGGGAGGAGAATGGCACCCTTAGGAGAAGCATGGCTAGCTCGTGGTTGGGGTGTAGATGCAGGAAAACCCCCGGAAATGTGCTTCCTCTAGAAGTAACTGAGGACTCTTTACTGACTGTGGCCACCATGGTGGCGGGAAGAGCTTGTGTTCTTGGAACCCTGCCCTGCGGGCCGCAGCGAGTTGGGGGCAGAAAGAAGAAAAAAGACAGGATGACCTGACAGGCTTAAACCAGAACAGGCAAGTTGGAATCAGCCTCCACTCCAGTTAACATCTGCCTCTCGTTCCTGCAGGTAGACACTGTGACGTCACGGCTTGTCCAGGAGGACAGGCTCAGCCTCAGGAGAGCCTGTGGATCTGTCGAGTTTCACACGCGGCTCCTGAAACCTGCCTGGAGACGGCTGCTGTGTGGTACCTCCATCTGCCCTTCCCGTCCTGCGGAACACCTCAACGGACGTTCCTCCGTGGAGACACACGAGGGCGCTCCAACCAACAACGCGAGGAGCTTTTTCAACAACCACAACAAAAAAGTTGTGAATTTGGTTCTATT